GCAGAACCAGAAGAATGTAACAGCCTAGTAACAGCAACACTGTGCGATGATCAGCTTTGATAGACTTGGCTCTTCTCAGCAATGCAAGGTTCTAAGACATCTCCAAAAGACTCATGATGGAAAATGTTATCCACATCCAGAGAAAGAATTATGGAATCTGAATGCAGATTGAAGCATACTATTTTCTCTTTTTTTGCTGTTTTTTCTTTCTTGTGGTTTTTCCCTTTGGTTCTAATTCTTCTTTACAATGTGACTAATGTGGAAATATGTTTAATATGAATGTATATGTGTGGCCTATATCAGATTGCATGCCGTCTTGGAGGGAAGGAAAGGGGGAGAAAATTTAAAACTCGAAATCTTATAGAAGTGAATATTGAAAACTAAAATTAATTAATCAATTAAATAAAGAAATAATTCTCTGCTGGAGGGAAGCAGGTCTTCTTATTGTCCCCCAGATCTCGGGTCGTTTGTTCACACTATACCCCCCAGCCAAGAGATTACCTTCCCTCTTTCCTGCCCAACTTAACCTCCATCCTGTAGGGCCCAGGAGGAAATGACAGAATTCCGGAGCCAGACAGCACCTCAGAGGCGTTCAGTCTGACCTGTATCTTACCTGAGAATTCCCTCCCTATGTTCTCAAGTGGTTATCCAGGTCCACTGGAAGAGTGCCAGTGATGGGGAGCTCACTACCTGCTGTAGCAACTCATTCCACTTTTAGACATAACAGTTAAGAAGTTTGTGGGTCCCCAGTCCCAGGGGCCTTCTGGGGCCAAGCTGAATGGGTCTAATTGCTCTTCCCTCAGACAAGTCATTGTCTGATTATGTGTTCATGTCTTCTCTTCTCCTTCTCTGGTCTAAAGATTCTTAGTTTCTTCCAGGGATCCTCTCCCACCCCAAAGCAGGGTGGAAAGGAAGCTGGCTCTGGAATGGGAGGCCTTTGGGGCTCACCATAACACAAATGTTATTATCCCCACTTTACAGATGAAGAAGCTGAGGCTTCTGTAGGGGAACAACTCCACCAAGGTCACACAGCTGGTAAGTGGATTAGAGCTGGGATTCTGATCAGTCAGCTGAGCCTCAGTTTCTTTCTCTGTAAAATAAGGGAATTGGGGTAGGTGGTCTCTATGGTTCCTTCTGGTTCTAAATCTATCTTCTAATGACCATATTTTACCTGCGGTAAAAGAGCTGAGGGTGGGAGAGGAGCTAGCGCCAGAGGTCAGCTTGACCAGTTCAGAGGCGGGACAGCTGCCCACTGGGGAGCTCAGCCTATAAAACCACAGAGCATTCAGCAGGCCCCTGGGCACGGCTGCACTTTAGGGTAGTGAAGAGGACCTTCGAGGACATCAGTCACCTCCACCTCACGTCAGTGCCCTGGGACAAAGTGCCATTTGTCCTGCCCTAGTTACAGAGTGATTTCAAACTTCTTCAAGGCCTTAGACTGAGTCCTGCTGGGACCCGTCTGGAGATAGACGTAAAGTTGGCACTTGTAAAGTGAGTAATTTCCCTTCATGTGATAGCTACAACCCCCAAACCCTAATTCCCCCATCCCCCCTTCTCTCTTCTCTCCATATATATATATATATATATATATATATATATATATATATATATATATATATATATATGTATGTATGTATTTCTATAAAGATATATTTATATGTGATTATAATAATAATTATTATTCCTAGAAGAATTTCCCCCCTTTTCTGGACATAGGTCATTTTGGACAGGCTTCCTTTTCTGTGTGGGGCAATTGGACTCTTCAGATTCCAGGATGCCTTCAATTGGGTACGGGTTGCCCCTGAAATCTTTTGAGCCAGAAAGCCCTGCCTATTTGTCAATCTTACCAAGAGAAGAAACGATCCTGTGTTGGGGAACTTTCATCAAAGAGCATGTTGGAAGACTTAGGTGCCATTCAGTCTGAGACAAAGCTTTGGCACACACTCCTAATGACACCCCCCTCCCATATTTTCTCTCCCACTGTGGTTATTTGTGTCTATGTCTAATCCTGGTGATTACACCTATCATGGTAGAATGGAACCAACCTTGCACCTGGAGTCAGAGAGCCTAGGTTCAAATCCCAATTATACCACTTCCTGGTCTCTTTGGACCTCAGTTTCCCCTACTGTAAAAATGAGGACTGTATTGGGGGGAGAGGATCAGAGCCAGGGCCTGCCCTCCTATGACCCTGTCAGCTCCCTCCCAAGGGGACTTTATGGGCTGAGTGTTTCCTGCCTTTTCCATGGGTGGAAATAAAGCCTGCTTTGTACCAGATAAGTATTCCTTATTTTCAAAAGGGCTAACTGGGAACTGGGAACTGTGTACTGGGCGGGGTGGATAAAAAGCTACAGAGACACTGAAGGTCCCTGAGATCACATTTAGTCCATGTGAGCGCAGAACCAGGAGGCAAGTGGGAGAATTTTCCCTATTTGATGGATGAGGAAACTGAGTCCCAGAGAAGTTAAGTGATTTGTCCAGGTTCACAGAGCTAGTGAGTGTCAGAATCAGGATGGAATCCCAGGACTTCTGAGGCCACATCCAGATGCACCTCTCTCCACCAGCCACATGGCTAGCACAGAGTGCATGCTTTGTAAATGTTCGTTGAAATCCAGAAAAATCCATGATAGGTTTAAAAAAAAACCAGGAGGAGACCTGGATAGTTTTGTTATTACTTTTTAAAAGTTAGAATGAGTAACAGATCTGTGATTTTTTTCCAGGGTGGAACAGAGAAATCTTAGGGAGCTGTCTGAGCCCCAGACAAGTGCAATGACATATCCAGGGCCTAGCTTTAAATGTCAGAAGTGGGATCTGAACCCAGGCCTTCCTGTTTCCAAGGCCATTGCTATTCTATCACTCTTCCCATAACTGGTGTGGCGCTGGGCCTGGGGGCAGGAAGCCTCCTCTTCCTGTGTTGAAATCTGGCCTCAGACACTTACTGGCTGTGTGACCCTAAACAAGTCCCTTAACCCTGCTGAAAAGCAGTGTTTTCCTCATCCATAAAATGGGCCAGAGAAGAGAATGGCGAACCAGTACAGTATCTTTGCCAAGAAAACTCCCCAAGGGGTCACAGAGAGTCAGAAACGATTGAAAAACAATTCAGCGAATGACTTTTAAATGAGATTGTATTAAAATAAAAAAATAAAATTCAATCAGACTAAGATACTTTACAAACGTTTTATAAGAATGAGCATCATCAGAAGATTTCCATTTCACCTCTTCTTTGTCTTAGGCTCTGTGTTTGTTATTTGAACGTTTCTGGGTGGTTACTAAGTGCATAATAAATACAAAATAATAAATGTTTGTTGAACCCAATTTGCAGGCAGCAAACTCCCCCAGCTGGAGCAGCCTTCTGCTCAGATGCATTTCCCATAATCAGGGGCCTCGGCAGGGCCCTACTCAGCCATGTGGACAATGCCACGGTCTGAACAGGCCATTGCCTGCTTACCTCCCCCTCTCAGCCGCTGATGCTGAGCCAAGGCTGGAGGAGCTGAGCCCAGGAGCCTGGACCTTCCACAAAGCTCCGCGGGCCCTCCTCCAGAGAAGGCCCCTCCCCTTGGCCGTCCTGCCTGGACCCCAGGCCAGGGGCTTCTTACTTAATCCACTTATCAGACCCTGGTGGGGGGTTTGGGCTGGCGCTGCTGTTTCTCCACTTGGGGCATGTTGCCCCCCTCTCCCAAGCCCCAGAGTTGTTGTGCCTGCCTCCTCCCCATCCCCGGGTCTGACTCTGTTTGGCTCCCCATCTTCTCCTGGGCCATCCGACTGGGAAAGGGGCCAGGCCCTGAGCTCAGGCACTGGCTATTCCAGCCAGAACTGTCTGAGGCGGGGAGCCAGCCCCAGGCCAGACACCACCAGGATCTGGCCCAGGGGTCTGGGAGGTGGGCAACCTGGGTCCTTGGAAAGGTACAAGGGAAAGAGACTGAGGAGCCGTGGTCAGGGGGTTCAGCAGAGCCACACGTTTGAGGAAGGGATGGGGAGGGGGCAGCCGGAGGTGCGGAAGGAACCCACAGCTTCAGGTCGGGGGGCTGAGGCACTGCCATTTGGTTCTGTGCCTAGCCTGCTTGCAGAGTATTGGATTTGCTCCCTTTCCTGCCCTCTATCCCTAGGGGCTCTCTGGAGTGTGGGGCAGGTGGGAGATTGGAGGGAGGCTCTGATGGCCTTGGGGTTGTATGACTGTTAGCTGGAGCAAAATGGGGCCTTGTTGCTTTGAGATCCCTACCCTTGCCCCAGACTTCAGGCTGAGTGGGGGAGGAGCTGAGAGGACCCTCAGCCAACCTCCTCCTTTTACAAATAAGGAAACTGAGGCCCAGAACAGGGAACAGACTTTTTCCAGGCCCCCCAGCTAGCAGAGTCTGGGCTGGGACCCCCTGTTCGCGAGTGGAGTCAGGGCTTCTCTGCAGTCCAGCTGGGCCGAGGGAGAGGGGCAGGGCCCCAGCCCCCGCGGCGGTGGCCGCTGCAGCAGCATCTCCCTTCTGGCCCCTGCGCCCTGCCTGCCACATCACTCCCCTGCTCTGGGGGCGGTGGGCACAGAAGGCACCAGGGAGCTCCTGGCCAGGTGTGCGGCTGGTGGGCAAAGGCGCCCCAGACGTGCCCCCCTCTCTCTCCCCCGAAGGCGAGGGCGGGCTGTGACTCTCTAAAAAGCCAGCCAGCCGCCCTCCCCCTCTGGCCCCCAGCCAGCCTCCCAGCCCCCAGCGCCGCCTCCCCTGCTCTCTCCCCGCTTGCTCCAGCCACGGAAAACAACTCCTCATTTCTCCCTCCCTCCGGCCGTCCCTCCCTCCGTCGGCCGGGGTCCTGCCCAGCCCCACACTCCCTGGGTCCGTCGGGAGCTGGCGGGCCAGGAGGCAGCGCCGGGACGCCGGGAGGAGGCGGCAGGCAGGCCGGGATCGCAGGCTCCCGAGCTCGGGGCCGAGCCGGGCCGGGCGGCTCATCCCCACCCCTGCTTCTCCCCCAACTCCTGCCCCTGCCCCTGCCCCTGCTCCCAGCCCGCCCGCCCGCTGTGCGCTCCCTAGTCTGCCTCCGGCCGCCCCCGCTCCAGGCCTTCTGGGGTGCCGCAGGCCCCCCTCCATCAGGGACAGGAAGACTTGGGACAAGTTTCCTTCCACCCTGGTGCTTCTCACTCTCATCCCTCCGCCTTCCTTTTCCTTCCTTCCCTCCCTCCCTTTCTCTCGTCCTCTCTCTTCTCTCTCTTCGCTCCTTCCACCACCTCTGCCCTAGCTCCCTGGGGGCCCCTTACCCGGGACCCCATGCCCTGGGCCTGCAGTGCCCCCCTCCCTCTGCCTCCTGAGATGCCCCCCTCCGGGCTGTTGGCTCTCTTGCTGCTGGTGGGCCTGGGTGGAGGGGTGCTGGGGGGCCCGGCAGGGGAGCGGGGTGCTGGGGGCGGAGGGGCACTGGCAAGAGAGCGCTTCAAGGTGGTCTTTGCCCCCGTCATCTGCAAGAGAACTTGTCTGAAGGGTCAGTGCCGAGACAGCTGCCAGCAGGGCAGCAACATGACCCTCATCGGCGAGAATGGACACAGCACTGATACGCTCACCGGCTCCGGCTTCCGAGTGGGTGAGGCTGGGGCCGGGATCCCGGGGCTCCGGCAGGATTCGGGGAGGAGGGGCGCCTGCGCTGGCTAGTGGAGGGCAGGGATTCAATGGGGGCCAGGGTGCTTGGGAACGGGGACACCTGGGCTCTGGGGGAAGGAGGGAGGGGACACCTGGATTCCTGGGTTCTGGAAGACAGAGGGCAGGATGCCCGGGGCTTCCAGGGAGGATTCTGGGAGTGAGAGGAACAGCGTGGTGACTGGATGGGAGTGTCGACCAGCACTGAGGAGGGGACTCAGACTTGGTTGAGGGGGGAATTCTTCATTCCTTCTTTCCCGGGCAGCAGGCTAGCTTCTGTTCCCACCTCCTGCTGCCCCTGCTTCCGGTTCACTGTGTCTGTGGCCTTTCAGGTTTCCCGCCAGGCCTGCTGACCCCACACTTAGCCCCCTAGACCTGGTGTCCCTCCACCCCCTGAAAGCCCCAAGAAGTGAGAGCACAGGCCTACTCCCTGGGGGGGGGGGTGGCAAATTCTTGTCCTCAACTCCCTCTAATAATTATCCCCAGGGCCCTGGGTGGCAGGGAGGAGCCCCTTGTTAATTATGCCTCTGGGGGGTAATTAGTCAGACTGGGGCCCAGGGAGGTACCATCCAAACATCCCCCAGTCTTGGGAGCCCCAGGCATAGAGGGACAGACTGTGGTCCCTTATCCAGTGGTCCCCAAGAATTCCTATAGTCAGGTGCTCCTGTATGTGACAATATTGGTGCATCTGTGTGTGACTGTATGGAAGTGTATTTGTGTGTGTGTGTGTGTGTGTGTGTGTGTGTGTGCGCGTGAACAGGCATGAGTGTCTCTAGCTAGGCTCAGGGCCTTCCTGCCTATGCTGTTGTCTCTGTCTGTGCTGCCCACATCCCTCAGGCACGGTGCCCGGGGCCGCGGGTGGGCGGTGTCACTTGGAGGTCAAGCTCACCACCAGGAGTGACTCACTCAGAAGGGCAGGAAGGAGGCTCTCTCCCCTCACCCCCATTCAACAGGATGGATGGGCCAGGAAGGATGCTTTCTCCCAGGGGCTGGGGGCTTCCCAGCCTTAGCCCCAGCAGGAGGCCAAGCCCACAACAACCCGCCCCACCCTGCCCCTGGTATCTGAGAGGCAGCTGCCGGGTGAGGGAAAGGATGTCTCCGTGACAGGAGAGAGAGGGCAGAGAGAGGGGCTGAAGGCTGGGGGGAGCTGGGGGGTGATGGGGAGATGGCAAGCGGGGCCTACTGCTGAGGCAGCGGAGCCCAGAAGTCTTGGTTTGGCCCTGCCTGAGACGCTCGCTACCTGTGGGACCCTGGGCCAGGAATGTCCCAGTTTTCTCAGCTACAAAGTAAAGGGTTAGCTGATCTGTAAAGGTTGCTTGGCCTCAGAGGGCTCAGAGCTGGTCCTGTGCTTTGTCAGAACCGGAGCTTAGGAACCAGTAGCCTGGTGTCTGTATACCTGGGAGTGCATACCCACATGAGAGGCCATGCACTGGTCTGGGTGCTTGCTTCACAGCTCTGTGATCCTGGGCAGGCTTCACACACACACACACACACACACACACCCTCAGTTTTCCGCCTCTGTAACTTGAGGGAAGGAGTAGATTTTCTCTAAGGCCCCTCCCAGCTCCGAATCCTCAGACCCTACACCGGTGTATGTATGGGTGTATGTGCATACATGTGTGGCGGGGGAGGGGGGGGTGTCTGTGCCCAGACACCACCCCATGGAGACGGATGGGAGAGCTATCAGGGATTTCACAGTCCAGTTTGGGGAGGGGGTGAGGGAGAGTGGGGACTGGATTAGGACGTGGGAGGGACAGCCCACCCACTGTGACGCTTCCCCTCCCCACCCTGCCTCATCTTTCTTTGCAGTGGTGTGCCCTTTGCCCTGCATGAACGGGGGCCAGTGTTCATCTCGAAACCACTGTCTCTGCCCCCCGGACTTCACCGGCCGATTCTGCCAGGTGCCAGCAGGCAGCGCGGGGGCGGGCTTAGGCCGGGGTGGGGCTCTGAGTGGCCCCCCACCCCCTGCCCCTGAGGGGGAGCCGGTGGCCAGCAAGCATGCCATCTATGCAGTCCAGGTGATCGCAGACCCCCCTGGTGCAGGGGAGCAGCCCCCGGCCCAGCACGCAGCCTTCCTGGTGCCCCTGGGGCCTGGCCAGATCTCAGCCGAAGGTAGGAGAACTGAGGGAAGGAGGTGTAGAGGAGGAGGCTGGGCAGGAGGCACCCAGAGATGGAGAGACACCAATGGGGCCGGCGGTTGGGGAACGGAGAGACATAGGAGGATTGTGACCCAGAGAGAGACCCAGGCAGAGATCCAGGTAGCAGAAGCCTCCTCCACGTGTGGGCTCTGCTCCATTAGAAATCAAGTATGGGGGCAGCTAGGTGGTGCAGTGGATAGAGCACCAATCCTGGAGTCAGGAGGATCTGAGTTCAAATTCAGCCTCAGACACATAACACTTACTAGCTGTGTGACCCTGGGCAAGTCACTTAACCCCAATTGCCTAAAATTAAAACAAAAAAGTCAAGTATGGCCTCAGCTTGTCTATTTGTATCCCCAGCACTAGGCACACAGGAAGTGCTCAATACATGCTTTTCCATTCAGTCGTTCATCCTTAGGAATTACAGCTGGAAGAAACTGTAGAGATCTCGTTTTCCCCTTCATTTTACAGAGAAGGAAACTGAGGCTCAGAGAGGGAGAGGGGCTTGCCCCAGGTTGCACAGGCAGTGAGTATAACAGTGGAGTGAGAAAGAGATCTCAAGAGACAGAGAGACAGAGACAGGCCCCTGACCAGCTGTGCCCATCCTGGAAGCTGCCCTTCTCCTGGCAGCGGCGTCAGCCTTCTGTGGCTCTGGGACCTCCCAGAGGTATTAAGGCAGCCAGGAAGGAGGCTACTGGGGAAGAAATGGGGGGACAAGGAGGCTGGAGGCGGGCCTAGGCTATGAGGCACTGACCCGCTGTGCCCGTGCCCCCCCAGTGCAGGCACCTCCGCCCCTGGTGAATGTGAGAGTTCACCACCCCCCAGAGGCCTCCGTCCAAGTTCACCGCATCGAAGGGCTGAGCGCTGAGGGCCCTGCACCCCCCCAGCACCTCCTCCCCCACCCCAAGACCCCCCACCCCCGGCCCCCCACTCAGAAGCCCCTGGGCCGCTGCTTCCAGGACACGCTACCCAAGCAGGCTGTGAGTGACCCTCAGGGGCCCCTAGTCCCTCCCCCGGGGATCCCCCTTAGCCTTTCGGACCACCCCTTCCCCCCTTAGGCCCCCACACCGGCTGTTCCTCCCCTCCTCAGCACCCAGCCCTGGGCTGTCTCTGAGGGAGCGTAGGCAGTCTTGGGGTGGGGGAGTCAGCTTCTGACTAGCTGTTGTTCTTGGAGAAGTCCTTTCCCTTTCTATAAAATGAGGGGCTTAACATGATGCCCTCTGGCTCCTCCAGCTGGGATGGCCTAAGATCCTTGTGGGGTGGGCGGGGGAGCTGAGAGAACTGAGGCGTTGGGTCCCCCCTAACAGTCCTTCCTTGGACCACAGTGTGGCAGTAACCCACTTCCAGGGCTGACCAAGCAAGAAGATTGCTGTGGAAGTATCGGCACAGCTTGGGGTCAGAACAAATGTCACAAGTGTCCCCAGCTGCAGTGTGAGTCCCATGCCGGCCCCTCCCATTCCATGCATAGCTTGGCCTCCTGGACCCCTGCTCCTCTTCCCCAGCCCTCCCTCTCCTTCCCCTCCCAGCTGCCCCCCTCATCCCCACTCCCCAGTGACGGATCGCCATGCTCTCCCCCAGACACTGGCGTGCAGAAACCAGGCCCCGTGCGTGGGGAGCTGGGGGGTGACTGCCCCCAAGGTTACAAGAGGCTGAACAGCACCCACTGCCAGGGTATGGTGACCTTGGGGCTGGGAATGGCCAGCGATAGGCCAGACCATGGGCTGGAGGGTCCCTGGGCCACAGCAGTGTGGAGGTAGGAGGAGGGAGCCAAGACAGGCAGAGTTGGGAGGGCATCCTACCCTCTCTCTTCATCCATACTCTCCCTGTTTTCCCAAAGACATCAACGAGTGTGCTATGCCAGGCATGTGCCGTCACGGAGACTGCCTCAACAGCCCAGGCTCCTACAGATGTGTCTGTCCCCCTGGCCACAGCCTTGGCCCCTCTCGAACCCAGTGTCTGGGTAAGAGCCCCTGGGAAAAGGTCGGAGGCCATGTGGCGATCATATGGGTGTCAAAGGTCATAGTGTAATGTAGAAGGGGCAGCCTGGGGAAAATTCCAAGGTCAGGTGCAGAGAGAGGTCACAGGTCATAGGGGTCAGGTTGAGAATAATTCAAATCATATGGGGACAGATCAGAGAACACATATAGACTGAAGCAAGGTGAGAGGTCTCAGGTCCAGTTTACTACAGAGTCAGGGTCACCCAGGAGTATGAAGCTGGATTGCCTGGAGGTGATGAGGCAAGGGTGCCCAAGGTAGGCAGGGAATCTGTCCTGATTCTTCCTATCCTATGCTCAGCTGAGAAGCCAGAGGAGAAAAGTCTCTGTTTCCGCCTGGTCAGCCCTGACCTGCAGTGTCAGCACCCGCTTACCACCCACCTGACCCGCCAGATGTGCTGCTGCAGCGTGGGCAAGGCCTGGGGAGCCCGCTGCCAACGCTGCCCTGCTGACGGCACTGGTCAGCCACTGCCCTCCCTGCCCTGTTTGGGGCCTCCAGAGCACTGCAAGGGAGTGGGGAGGGCAGCTCTGTACCCAGGCACTGGGGTTGGGGGGGGGGAATCTATGGGAAGCCCCAAGGCACTGCCAGAGGACATGAGATCCTCTCAGCTCCTGGGCACTACTTCGGAGAGGTAGGAACCCCAGAGATGTCCAGGGAAAGTTCACTTCTATTTTCCCTACCCCTGCCCCCAGCTGCTTTCAAAGAGATTTGCCCAGCTGGAAAAGGTTACCACATCCTGACCTCCCACCAGACACTCACCATCCAAGGAGAAAGTGACTTCTCCCTGTTCCTGCACCCAGATGGGCCCCCCAAATCCCAGCAGCTCCCAGAGAGCCCCAGCCGGGCCCCGCTGCAGGAGGAGCTGGAGGAGGATAAAGGTAAGAGCTTAGCTCACCAGTCCTGGCAGCTGAATCAGACCCATGAGCAGAGGGCCAAAAGCACTGTCCTCCAAACACTCCCCCCTATCCTGTCCTAGGGACCCCAGGGGTAGAAGTGTCTGCTTGGGACTCTGGGCTCAACCTGTCTATCACCATGAACAATACCCCATCGGGACCCAGATCTCTCCCCACTCCCCAATCTTTCTCTGTGCCCCACCCTTCAACACCCTGGGCACCATGCTGGAGCGTGTGGAGAAGCCCTGACCACCTCCACCAGGACACTACCCGGGGCTCCTACCAAATTCCCTGTGTGTTTGTGAAACCTCCACTGGACATGACCTTAAGATACGTAAAACTTGAACCCAGTCCCTAACCCCAACTGTGTTTCAGACTCTCCAAAACCCGTCTTCTAAATGCTGGCTTTTTTTCTTCCAGGGGTGACCACGGACTCCGTGAGTATACAGGCCAGAGACTGGCCACTGCTCAGCTGGGGAGTCACAAAGGGAGGCAGAGAGCCCGAGGGCTCACCTGGGAGAGGGATGGGGATGATGAAGCAATGAAGTAGGAGAACGGTAGGCAGGGCCCAGGAGGCTGGCACTTAAGCACAAGGCTGCTTTGTCTCCCTCCACCTTCTCCCCACCCCATCCTCAGATGGACTCCGAGGAGCGCTCAGCTCAGCAGGGCCAATCCCCCGTCACCACGCTGCCGCCGGTGCGCCCCTACCCAGGTGAACCAGGGAAGGGGAAAGGGACACGGCAGGGAGGAAAAGCCTCACCAGCCAGGGGATGCAGGTGGGGGGGCCTGCTGGGGAGGAGGAGAGAGCTAGCCTCGTGTCCTGGAGGCCAATCCGCAGCAATGGCGCTTGAAGAAAGCTCCGCCACCCAAGTGAATCAGCCACGTACTGGGCTCTTTCTTCCAGAGCTGATTTCCCGCCCCACCCCGCCAGCTGTGCACAGAATCCCTCCCGATCTGCTCCCATCAAGGAGCGCCGTGGAGATCGCTCCAACCCAGGTCACAGGTAAGCTACTCATTCTGTCCAGGCGACCCCCAGCCTGGCATCCAGGGCCTGCTTCCGCTCGGACCACCGCCGCAGCCACATAGATTCAGTTCTTTTAAGTTCCGGCTTCTGGGGACACAAAGACAGAAAAAGACCCAGTCCCTGGCCCTCACGAGCTTCCATTCTAATAAGCGGAGACATCACAGCACGGGGAGTGGTCGCCAGAGAGAGGAGCTTTGATCCCGGGACCGGGAGTGGGGCCATGGGGAAGTTGTTCGACGCTCCGCTTGCCTGGGGCCTGCCTGGCCAGGCGAGGCCATCACCAAACCGGGCAGGGCCGCCTGGGGCCCCGGCTCCTCAGGGCTCCACTCTCACTCCTCACAGAAACTGACGAGTGTCGGGTGAACCGTAACATCTGCGGCCACGGAGAGTGCGTCCCTGGCCCCTCGGGCTACTCGTGCCAGTGCTATCCAGGCTACCGGCCCCATCCGCAGCAGATGTACTGCGTCGGTGAGTGGGAGCGCCCAGTGCCTGGCACCGCCCGGTGCCTGGCACCGCCGAGCATGCGCGCGGGGCCCACGGCAGGGAGGGGGCTGAGCCTCAGTGGGGACAAGGGGAACCTCGACCCCTGATGTCAGAGCTCAAGCGGGGCCCACGGCAGGAGGGGGCCGAGGATGGAGGGAGGGGGCTGACCCTCAGTGACGACAAGGGGCGCCTCGATCTGTAATGCCAGAGTTCACGCGGGGCCCACGGAGGTCAGGGACCCTCCTCGACCATTTATCTCCCTGTCTCGCCCTCCCACAGATGTGAACGAATGTGAGACTGAGCCCTGCGGAGTCGGGAAGGGCGTCTGCATGAACACGGGAGGCTCGTACAACTGTCACTGCAACCGGGGCTACCGGCTACAAGTCACCCCGAGCGGCCGCTCCTGCGTGGGTAAGGGCGAGGTTAGAGTGAGGCTCTGGGGGTGGGGCTTGGGGAAGTTGGGTGGGGCGTGGCCAATGGACAGCCGGGCTCCGGGGAGGAGCTTGTAGAGGGGTGGGGCGAGGCCAGGCCTCCGTGGGTGTGGCTAAGGAGCATTAGATTCCTTGGGGACGTGGGAGGAGGGACCAATAGGGCGGGACTTAGAGAAGAGTGGGTTCGGATGCAGGCCCGTGCTGTATCACAACCTGAGGAGGGGCGGGGCCTGTAGGGGCAACGCTATGGGGCGGGGATTAGGCAAATAAGAGGTCTGAGGGGCGGGGCCGCAGGCGGTTACGCTGCCTGGAGGGTAAGGTGTTAGTTCTGCCGAAGGGGCGGGACCTATGGAAGGACTGGCTCTCGTTGGGGCAGGCCCCTGAAGGGGCGGAGCCTGGAGCCCGGCCCCTGTCTTTTCCCCATCCCGGGCTCAGACCTCAATGAGTGCGTGAAGCCCCACCTGTGCGGGGACGGCGGCTTCTGCATCAACTTCCCCGGGAACTACAAGTGCAGCTGCTATCCAGGCTACCGGACCAAGCCGTCCCGGCAGCCGCTGTGCGAAGGTAGGCCCAGGACGGGGAGAGGGCCCGGTGGAGACTCCCACCACGGGGCGAGGACGGGCGGGGCGGGAGAGCCCAGAGCGCGCCGGGAGGGTTGAGAAGGCGGGCGGCCCCTCCCTCCCCGGCTCTTCTGTCGCGACATCCGTCCTCTCTTTAGTTCTGGGGGCCTGCAGGCCTAACCTGACCCTCCCTTCTGTCCGCAGACATCGATGAGTGCCGGGACCCCAGCTCGTGCCCAGACAGCAAATGCGAAAACAAACCTGGCAGCTTCAAGTGCATCGCGTGCCAACCTGGATACCGGAGTCAAGGGGGCGGGGCCTGTCGGGGTGAGGGGCAGAGGGGAAGGGAGGGATCAGGCGGAGGGCCGGGGGCGGGGAGAATCATCTGGGACACCTTCAGGGATGAGAATTCGGCCAGCGAGAAAATGCCTCACTGGCCAGGCTCCCTGGGCTCTGCCAGCCTGTATGTTCTTAGCGGGGAGGAAGGCAGGCCTGAGCCTTTTCGCCAGGACAAGAGATGGTCAGATCGTGCTGTACTGGACGGGCCGTACTGGGATGGGGACGCGGACGAAGGCCGGGCCCGGCCTACCTGCGCTCTGTTCCTCCCAGTTGTCCGGCCCCTCCAACAGCCCCTCTCCCCTCTAGACATGGACGAATGTGCCGAGGGCAACCCCTGCCAGCCAGGCTGGTGCGAGAACCTCCCCGGCTCGTACCGGTGCACGTGCGCCCAGGGCTATGCGCCGGCCCCAGACGCCCGCAGCTGCCTGGGTGAGTGCCCCTCAGGGTGGGGGCCCATCTAGGGCAGCCCCAGGTCTCCCCACTGGACACTGACCTTCACCCTCCTCCTCTTCCGGGAAGATGTGGACGAGTGCGAGGCCGGGAACGTGTGCGAGCACGGGGTCTGCACCAACACCCCCGGCTCCTTCCAGTGCCAGTGTCTCACGGGCTACCACCTGTCCCGGGACCGGAGCCGCTGCGAGGGTGAGTAAGGAAGGGAGGCCTGGCTCTAGCTGCTGAGAGCGCTGAGAAAGCCGGCCGGAGGGGCAGGCCTTCAGCTTGCCCGTCCATCAAATGAACTGGCCTAGGAGAAGCTCTAAAATCCCTCCCTGCTCTGACATTCTAGGTCCTAGGTTCTTTGTTCCATGAAGGAAGGACCTTCTCTGCTCTGATATCCCATGCTCTATCTTCTAAGGACCATCTATGCCTGACGTTCTGGGTTCTAAGGTCCCCCTAGGCCTTGACATTCTAGGTTCTAAGGACCCTCTCAATCTAGTCAATCTAGGTTTTCAAGTCCCTCCCAGATCTGATATTCTCTATCCAATGATGCCAGGGTATCCACAAGGACCTGTTTGCTAGGTCAACAAGTGGCCAACACTGCTGCCCCCTGGTGGCTGCCGCTGACTCTGCGTCCCCCAGACACCTGCAGGTCCTGTCCAGAACTCCACTTCAGCATTTTTGAAGCGTGGGCTGTGTTCAGAGCCCTGCTCCGGGTGCTGGGAGGAAAGGAATGGAGGTTACCAAGGCTAGCTAGCTAGAGGCCATCCTCTGTCCTCTTGGAGATCATAGGCTAGTAGCTTTGTGCTTTTCTTTTTTCCGTTTGCTTCTCCCTTTCAAGGCTGAAGGTCTGGGACAGTGACTAGACTGCCCCAGCAGGGGCCCTGAGAGTAGGGGACAGACCGAGGCCTGATTCCTGTCTCTCTTTAGAGATCAGACATGGACCTTATTAGCATATACTCCCAAGCTGAGTTCCTGTCTAGGCTTGGGAGAACCCCTGGGCTCCATGGGGAACACCTGAGTTCACTGGCTCTCTGGTTCCTGCCCCCAGACATTGACGAGTGTGACTTCCCAGCGGCCTGCATCGGAGGTGACTGCAGCAATACCAATGGCTCCTACCGATGCCTCTGTCCCCCAGGCCATCGGCTGGTGGGTGGCAGGAAGTGCCAAGGTACCCACCTAGTGGGAGGAAGCGGGGCATGGAGGAGCAGCTGGACAGCAGCCCTGCCACTTTATGGAATTCCCCAGTGCCCACACACTCCTGGTTGTTGGATTTTTGATCTCCCCCCAGAGACACCCCCCTCAGGACCCTGGAGATGCAGCTGAGGCTAGGGGGCATGGCCTTAGCCCAGGATGAAGGTGCTCTGGCCTCGGCCACTGGTACATCCCCTATCCTTGTCTTTATCCAGACATCGATGAGTGTAGCCAGGACCCAGGACTGTGCCTCCCCCACGGAGCCTGTGAGAACGTGCACGGCTCTTACGTGTGTGTCTGTGATGAGGGCTTCACTCCCACCCAGGACCAGCACGGCTGTGAGGGTGAGTGCCCACTCCTGCACCCAGGGGCCCCATGGCCCTTGCCTGCCTCCCCCGCCCAGGCTCCTGGCCTCTCTTTTTCCAGAAGGTTCCCTTTACCATGGATGCCTGAGTCTTCCCCCTTGTCTCAGAAGCAGAGCACCCCAAGCTTCTCATCCCTCCCTACTCCCCTTAGCCAGGCCCCCCCATAGGTGCCTGAGCTGCTGCTCTCTTCCCTGCCCCACACCCCCTGTTTCAGAGGCCGAGCAGCCACACAACAAGAAAGAATGCTACCTGAACTTCGATGACACCATCTTCTGTGACAGCGTCCTGGCCACCAATGTCACCCAGCAGGAGTGCTGTTGCTCGCTGGGCGCTGGCTGGGGGGACCACTGCGAGATCTACCCGTGCCCCGTCTACAGCTCAGGTCAGAGCTGGGGCCTGCTGTGAGATGGGGGAGGGGTGGAGCATGGGGAGCAGACACACAGGTAGGGGAGACCACGGACCCTTGAACCCTTGGGGACCTAGGGTCACAGGTTTTCCCTCTTCCCACCTCAGTTTCTTCCTCCGTTAAATGAGGCTTCAGGAGGCAGGATGATACTCTCTTCCTGGGAGACCTTGGGAAAGGCATTAGGCCTGTTTGCCCATTTGTAAGATGAGAGGTCTGTAGATGGTACCTCATCTAGAGGTAACTAGATGGCCTCTAAGCTCCGTACTAGTTCTAGAGGCAGCTAGGTGGCACTGCAGTGGAGAGAACACTGGGCCTGGAGTCAGGAAGACCTGAGTTCAAATATGGACTCAGATACTTACTTGCTGTGTGATTCTAGGCAAGTAACTTAACCTTTTAGCCTCAGTTTCCTAATCTGTAAAATGGGGACAATGACAGCACCTCCCTTACAGATGTTATAAGGACCAAATAAGATAACATGTACAGGGGCAGCTAGGTGGGGCAGTGGATAGAGCACTAGCCCTGAAGTCAGGAGGAGCTGAGTTCAAATCTGGCCTCAGACCAAACACTTGACACTTACTAGCTGTGTGACCCTGGGCAAGTCACTTAACCCCAATTGCCTAAAAACTAAAAAAAAAAAATTTAAAATAAAGATAACATGTACAACATTTTGCAAACCTTAAGGCACTATATAAATGTTAGTTGTACTTATTATTATTCTAGAAGACCCCAGGACTAGCTGATGGATCTCTAAAGTCCTGCCTAGATTTGAATGCTGGGTTGCTATGAGAGGAAGGGAAGGAACTATTCCTCACTGTCCCCTCTGTTCCTCTCACCCCCCAGCTGAATTTCATAGTCTCTGTCCAGATGGGAAAGGTTATATCCAAGAGAACAACATAATCAGCTATGGCATTCCAGCTCATCGGGGTAAGGAGCACTTCTCTGCCTCCCCCCATTCATTTAATAAGCATTTATGAAGTACCTACTGTATGCTTGACAAGCATTTATTAAGTGCTTCCTGTGTGCCAGGAAATGAATTCAGAATTGGAGGTACAAAAACAAAAACGAACCCACCTTTGCCCTCAGGGAGTTTTTATCATGAGGGGTTGGGCGGGGGAGGGCTCACCATGTCCACATATGATACAAAATATAAAGTAGATTTCAGGGTGCAGGGAGTGTTAACAACTGGGCAAATCAGGAAAGGCCTTCTGTGGGAAGTGGCAGCAGAGCTGTGCTTTGAAGGCAGCTAGGGATTCTATGAGGTAGAAGTGAGGAGGGAGGGCACTCCAGGCGCCAGGTACAGCCAGGGCAAACAGATGGGAGTCGGAGATGTGATGCCGTGGGTGAGCCAGGCACATTGAGAAGCTTGCAGCTCACAATGAATGGGGAACCGCTTTGGTTTCTCTGCTCTGGCTCTGGCTAAAAGGGGCAAAGCAGAGGGAGGGGCTTCCTGCTGAACCCTGCTGGCCCCCCTGCAGACATCGATGAGTGTGTGCTCTTTGGAGAGGAGATCTGCAAGGAAGGCAAGTGTGTCAACACTCAGCCAGGCTATGAGTGTTACTGCAAGCAAGGCTTCTACTATGACGGGAACCTGCTGGAGTGCGTGGGTGAGTGGGTGAGCGATGAGGGCACATCAGTGCTCCAGCTCCGGCTGGGGACCTCCAGGAATGGTGCCGCCGCTCCCTGCCCAGGCGGCCCATTTCTCTCGGGCCATCCACGTGTCCGGGTTCTGCCCTGGGGCCAAGCACACGAGCCCCCTCCCATCCAGCCCTTTGAATGTTTGCTGCCCACTTTGGACACGTAGCTAGGTCTCTGCCACAATGAGGTTCCTAGGGATGGGATGCGTTGTGCCACAGTGTCTGACCGGGGCAGAGATTAGAAGCCCATCAGGACACCTCAGCTTCTCCTCGTCTCTCGTCCTTACTGATTCTGGGCCTCGGTTTTCTCCTTCATGAAATGGGGATGTAACCCATGGCCTGCTCCCTCCAGAAGGGACATGAAGACTGGGAGGAGAGGAGGCAGAGGGTGACCCTTCACTCTCCAACTCTGCCCCCCTTGGGCGGGTGAGCGCCAAGGGCAGCGGCTGCCAGCAGGCCTGGGAGTGAGAGGCTCTGAGGCTTGGGGGAGGAAGGGGCAATGGGAGTCCACTCCTTTCCCTCCCCGCTCAGATGTCGATGAGTGTCTGGATGAATCCAAGTGCAGGAATGGCGTGTGTGAGAATACCCGAGGTGGCTACCGCTGCTCCTGTACCCCTCCCGCGGAGTACAGCCCTGCCCAGCGCCAGTGTCTGATCCCTGAAGAGACGGGTGAGGACTGGGACGGGGTCCTGGGGGCAAGAAAGGAAGGGGGAGCTGGGCTGGAGGCCGGAAGAGGAGGAGGTTAGGGGGTAACTATTCTGCTTGCAGATGTGGATGAATGTCAGGATCCCGGAGCCTGCCAGCATGGACGCTGCATTAACCTCCCCGGCTCTTTTCGCTGTGAGTGCCACCTGCCCTGGGTTCCAGGGCCCACTGGACGGGACTGTCAGCTCTTAGAGAGCCCAGCAGGTGAGGGCTGGGCATCGCTGTGCTTGGCTGTGTCTCCGTCCATCTCTGTCACTGTCTCTGCTTGTCCCAATTCCTTCATTCGCGTCCTGGATGCTAAGGAGTGTGTTATATGATGCTAGGACAAATCCAGAGCTCAGCCAGGCCCTCCCTCTGCCTTCGGGGAGCTCCCAGTCTAGGAAGGGGACAATTCAAAGTGAAACCTGCAAGAAAGGGGTGTGGACCCAAGAATTCTGGGAGATCCACAGGAAAGGGCAGTCACTGACATAGCAGGGGCATCGTGGAAGGCTTCTTGGAGGAGACAACATTTGCTTTTAATTAAATTCCAGATGTTAGAAACAGCTGAAGCAAAGGCCAGTGCAGATTAGGAGACAGTGTGGGGAGGGGCTGGTAATGTGAGTCAAGATCAGAAAGGCAGCCTGGTCCCTGGCTGAGGGGGGCCTTCACCAGCCCTTGTCTGTCTGCTCAGAAGGAAGAGAGAGCGGGGAAGACGGAAGGCCTCCCCAGAGGGTCAGCCTCTCTCTCCCTACTGCCCTTGCAGACAGGCCCCAGGAGCGGAGGGATGTGTGCTGGGGCCAGCGAGGGGAAGATGGCATGTGTGCGGGGCCCCTGGCTGGCCCTCTCCTGCCTTATGAGGACTGCTGCTGCCGTCAGGGCCGAGGCTGGGGGGCCCAGTGTCGTCCCTGCCCACCACGGGGGCCAGGTGAGCCAGAGGCAGGGTTGGGTATGGGGAAAATGGGAGCAGGAGGGAGCTGAGAGGAGGAAGGGGGGGGGTCCATGGCCTTGTTTAAAGAATAGAGTCAAGTGCCCCAGGTGAGGACCGCACTGGTGCCGGACAAATATCTGTGAAGGAGGGGAGGGAGAAAAGGGAGACTGGGTAGAAAGTCAGAGGCCTCGGGTTCAAATGCCACTGCTCCGATTGCTGATGGTGTGAGGGTGACCAAATCCCTGACCCTCTGGGACTCAGTTTCCTCCTCTGTAAAATGAGGAGGTGGTTGGCCTAGACAGCCTCGGAAGTCCTGTCCAGGCCATAGGTTAGCAGCCCTGGACCTCTAAACTCAGACCTCGACCCTCCCTTCCTCTCCCCTCCCCAGGACTTCAGTGTCTGAACTCCCAGAGCGAAAGTAACTCTTTTTGGGACGTGAGCCCCCTGTTCCTGAGGAAGCCCCACCGAGGTGAGTCGCCCCACCCCTGCCGCCCCAGTCCAGCTTCGGGGCTTGGGGTCCACAGAGAAGTGGACCCGGAGCCCCTCCGCAGGCATTTACGAGCCAGCTGTGTGAATAACCCTGGGGAAGTCACTTCACCGCTGTCAGTCTCAGTTTCCACATCTCTAAAATGGGGATAGTAATTCCGCCTACCTCACAGGGTGTGAAAAGCGCTTCGCAGCCCTATGTAAATGTTAGCTAGTATTATCATCGTCATCCCTCTCGGTCGCAGAAGAGGACAGCTCCGAGGAGGACTCGGACGAGTGCCGCTGCGTGAGCGGCCGCTGCGTGGCCCGCCCGGGGGGCGCGGTGTGCGAGTGTCCCGGCGGCTTCCAGCTGGACGCGTCCCGCACGCGCTGCGTGGGTGAGCCTGGGGGCCGAGCCTGGGGGGGCCGGGGCGGAGGCGGGGCCGGCGGCGGCTCCGCCCCCAGCCTGGTCCATTTCCTCGCCGTCTCGCCTCAGATATTGACGAGTGCCGCGAGCTGAACCAGCGGGGGCTGCTGTGCAAGAGCGAGCGCTGCGTCAACACGAGCGGCTCCTTCCGCTGCGCCTGCAAGGCCGGCTTCGTGCGCATCAGGCCGCACGGGGCGTGCGTGCCCCAGCGCCGCCGCTGAGCCCGGCGCCCGCCCGGCCCGTGTACAGAGCCCTGGAGAGCCGGACGAGGAGCAGCGAGCCGGGGGGAGGGCTGGGAAGGCTTCCCTCCTCGGAAGGGGGCTCCCGTGCGAGCTTCCCCCTCCTTGCTCTCAGAGGGCCGAGGCCGGCTACGAACCGCCTTCGGGGACCCTGCAGCTCTGAGGGACGTGCCAGGGTCCCAAGGGGACGTCATGCCTGGAGCTGCCCCAGTGGAGGGCTGTTTGACTGTGTGGACACGGCCTGGCTATAGACTGCCAGCTTGCTGGGGCAGGCACCTGCACCAGGCTCTTAGGAGATTGTATCTTAGTAACAGAAGCCGAGACACCTGCTCCCTACCAGTGGGTGTGACTGATTCTGCCCACCCACCGCGATGGTTATGGGAAGCCCGCAGAGATAAAGTTCGCCTGTTTACTCCTCCTTCAAGTTCTTGGTCTGGAAGAATAGGCCTGGCCCTCAGAGTCCCAATCTACCGCTTGTGGCGGGGTTAGTGGGAAGCAGGCTCTTCTTGGAAGATGGCCTGGGAGTGTCAACCCTGGGGGTCACATTCTTTCCAGAAGCTGGAAGAGGCAGCCCAGCCCTTCAGGGGCTCCCCCAGGAAGCAGCCCAGCCCTTCAGGCCCCCCGCCAGGAAAGCAGCCCAGCCCTTCGGGTGCCCCCCACTGGGGTATAAGGCAGCCCAGTCATTCAGGGCCCCACCACCACCAAAGCAGCCCAACCCTTCAGGTGCCCCCCAGGAGGCAGCCCGGCCCTTCAGGGCCCCCCCCCTCCCCAAGCAGCTCCCATGATCCAACACTCCAGGCCCAAGACTCAGAGGAACTAGAAATAAAATGTATTCCAGCTCTGATTATGTACATGGGGAGCCAGGCCCTGAGCCAGGCTGGGCTAGGCCTGGGGCCTCACGCATGGTTTGTACAATAAATACACGGGCAGAGGGTGGGGCGGGTCAGCCCGAGTCCCTTTCCCACTCCTATCACAGAAGCCAATGCAGCCCTGGCTCTAAGGAGGGGGCAATGCCAGGGTTCGAGGGTCAGTCCAACTTCCGTGCTCCCAGCTTCATGGGCCCCTTGGCCACCTTCCTCTCTGCCCGCTTGGCTTCCAACTCTCTCTTCCTCTCCTCTCTCTTCTTCCGAGCAAGCTCAGCCTTGGCCTGTCCTGGGAGACCATGACATGAAGCAGGGGCTTAGTGGGGGCTTTTCCTTCAAGGCTGCAGCTCTGGGCAACCCCATTAGCCCCCCGCAGAAGGGAGAGGAGGGGACCTACTGCTCTCTGACTCCAGGGTCCCCCAGCTCTCCTCCGTCCCCCAGTCCCCAGAGGCTTCTGTGCTCCAGGAATCTGGATTCCTCTGAAAAGAGAAGAGAAAGAAATTGGTCAGGGCCAACCTGAGGGGCTCAGAGGCCTGACTTTCACCCACCCACCCCTGCCTCCCCAGAGCCCAGTGACGTGGCTTGGGCTCTTACCAGCACCCCCACCCCACTGCTTAGGGTGCAGGCCTCCCCTGCCCCTACCTGGGCAGAGCTCACCCACACATTACCTGTGTGCTGGCAGTCAGGCGAGGTGCCAAGGCTGAAAAGGGATCTGCCTTCTCGCTGGTCTCCGTCCCACCCCAGTTGTACTCACTGGCCAGCTTGGTGCCCTCGGGCAGTTTCTGGGGCCTTGACTCCTGCCAGCCCTGGTCCCAGGAGCCTTCGGCCTCCCAGCTGCTCCAGTCAGACTCGGTGGACTTCTGAGAGGGGCTGCCCACCTGCAATGGGAGATTGGAGAGGCTGGCGGGATGGCAGAGTCTCTGGACCACCTGAATTCAGGGGACCCACTACTACAACACTTCCCCCCCCCCCCGGGGCCCAGGGCTCACCCTCCTGGACCGGTGCTCCCTATCACTGATGCTCCAGTCTTCTTGCTGAGCCTCTCCTTCCTGCTGCGGGGAGGCGCAGGAGGTGAGCCTGAGGAGGGGCAGGGGGCCCAGCCCCTACTCTGGCACCAGGCAGCCCTCCCCACCCCTAAGTGGGGCTTCCCTAAACCTTCCATGTGTTGCTCCATCTGGGAGGAATGGCCGATGTGGCCCCAGGCATCCCTGTAGGGTGTGGGAAGGAGGCACAGGAGAAGGTCCTGTCTCCGGGGGATTGTAAGGCACACATACCCTAAGAAAGGAGGCCCCAGCCCACAGCGAGCTTCTTGGGGCCACAGAAGGGAGACAGCTGGGATGGACAAAGCATGTCACAAACATTAGCTCCTCTGAACTACCCTGGGAGGAGGTGCTATCATGAATCCTCATTTTACAGGGAAAAAAGCTGAAGCAAATAGAGGTGAAGTGACTTTTCCAGGGTCATACAGCTAGGATGCATCTGGGGATGGGGTCCTGGGCCACCTAACAGCCTCACTCCTCCCCTGCCCCATGATGATGGCCTTGGTGGGTGGCTAAAGGAAGCACACCAGCAGAAGGGGGTCACTAGGCAGGAATGAAAGTGGGGGCTCCCACCCCCCGCCGCCTGGCCTCAGCACTTTCAGAGGTCACTTCCCCTGGTGCTGTGGACCCTCCATACCCTAAGAGACTTACTGACTGAACACAAAATCAACAGCCCAGGGACTCAAGCCCAAAGAGGGCCAGCCCCTACCCTCCCAGACTGTCCATTCCAGTGTGGGCAGGGGCAGAGGGAAAGCCCAGAGAGCAATCCATGGGCCCGCTTACCTCCAGGCTGCCCCAGTCTTCATCGTCCCACCGGTCAGCGGAGCCCTCCCCTTCCTCAGCTGCCTCCTCCTCCTCCTCGTCCTCCCCCGCCCCTCTTGTGTCCCACTGACCTGAGGTCACCGGAGGGACCTGGGCAGGGGCAGCGGCTAGGGCTGGGACTAGGGCTGCTGCTGAGGGGCCTGGGGAGGAGAGGAAAGGGGGCACATCAGGGATTGACCAGCCTCTTCAGGGAACCCAGATTTCCTACGTGCCAGTAACTGGTGAGGGAGAAGCCAGGGGGATGTTCCCACCAGGGCCTCCAATGGCTAGGGGTGGACGTTCCAGGGTGCTGCCGGGGGGGGGGGCCCACCCAGGCAGGGAATAGGGTGTGGCAGTTTGGACAGATCTAAATTCTAATGTTAGGGACAGGAACTGCAGAGAGGTTCAGTGAGGTGGCCTGGCAGCTCCCAGGCTCACTCCCCAAGCGAAAACCTCCCAGGGTCCTCAGACGCCATCTTGTCTGGCCCCAGGGAACTGAGGTCCAGAGACTAAAGCTTCCAGGGTGGAAGCAGGCGCAGGACGCTAGGGGCTGCAGACGCCATCTGATGACGACGGGGGCAGGGCACAGTTTGGAATCCTAAGCTCCCAGGGAATTGGAAGACTCACCTTCTGGGAGCGGCCTAAGGGGGGCATCGCTGGCTGGGGTGCTATCAGTGGCGACGGGGTTGGCTCGGATCAGCTTGGAGGTGAGGGAGGAGACACCCGTCACGGCCCAGCCAGCCCAGCTCGCTGCGCTGGTCCCCGGTCTCGGGCTGGAGGCTCTGTGGACATCCTTTTCTGGGGGAAGAGAGGACGATGTGGAGTGTCCAGGGGCAAGATCCCTGGGGAAGGGAGCTTGGGGAGCCTGCAGCAGGGGGGATGGCAGGGAGCAGGCCGGGTCCTCAGGGGAGGTACCGAGGCTATCGACAAATACCGCCGGGGTGGCGCCGCACAGTACCAGGAACAAGGACTAAGGGGGAGAGGGGCGTCTCCATGTGCTCACCCATCTCCTCCAGCTGGCCTGGGTCTTCAGACACAGACTCAAGTTTGGCTAGGAAGCTTCGAATGGCCTTGAAAGCCTGTGGGAGGACAGAGGAGAAGGGAAAGCGGAGGCCCGAGGGAGAGGGTGTGCCTAGGAATCCAGAGGCAGCCAGAGCACAGAGATGGGGCGGAGGGGGTGGGGAGGCTGGGAGCCAGGAGACCCTGCCCCATTGCACCTTATCCTAGACAGTGAGTTACCTCAGGGACTCAGTTTCTTGATCTGTACAATGGGACACTAGGGGACCTCAGAGGATTTTTAACAAACACTTTTGAAGGACACTCTATGTGACAGGGCTCTAAAGACACAGGGGCTGGGTTCAAATCCTGCCTCAGAGAGGAGTAAAAGGCAGTCTGCCCTGGGCAGACTCCAAGGTCCCTTCCAGCGCTACTTCTGTGACCCAATCATCTTGGATAAGGCCCTGTACCTCCCTGGGCCTCAGTTTCCCCCTCTGTAATAGGAGAGGATTAGACCCAGTTCCCACTAATGTCCCTCTCTTCCAGCTCCAGATCTAAGATTCTAAAACACTGGATGGTATTTGGGCTCAAACACTAATAAACATGACAGAGAACAGCCTGGAAAAAGGCAAAAGGAGAGGGCCACACAACTTTCCCTGAAAATCTGAGGACAGGAATCACTTGGGGCTGGGAGGCTCAACAGAGGCTTCTGGGGAGGGGATTGGGGGGGCACAGAGTGCATTACGGCACAGCCTAGGCAAAAGAGTGGAGGCAGGAGATAGTTCAAAGACCAGCAGAGAAGCTAGTGTGAAATCCACAGGGCTGGGGGTGGGCCAAGTCCCAGGTCTATTGGGCAGCTTGTGTCTTGTCAGTCGAGGCCAGCCTGGTGCCAGGCTTCTGCCCAGCCTTACCTGGTCGCGCACAGTTTTCTCAGGGTCTACAGTGAGGGTGCAGAGGACCGGCAGGATCTTGAGGGCGCAGTCATTCATGGAGTAGAGGTTGTGGGTGGCGGCAAAGCCCAGGACTCCTGCCGCCCTCGACGGGGCGAAGGGGTCCCTGGTGGCCCGGCTGAAAGCCGACGTGAGGACCCGATGTCTGGTCTGAGGAGGAGGAGGTGGCGCTCAGCGGCCCTGTTCCAGCCAAGCCCATGGCAGAGCTAGGCCCCGCTCTGGGGGGCACAAGAGGGAGCAAGGGACAGATGGAGGTCCCCCTCCCAGGCTGGGGCAGTGCAGAGGCGGGAGCCCGACTCACACTGGCGCTGAGGTGGGGGCCGATCTTGCCCAGGCACACGGTGGTGTTGCAGCGGATGGGGCCCTGGTCATCCTTGGCCTGGAGCCTGGCAAAGTGCTTCATCAGCTCTACGTTAAGATTCTGCTCGTTCAGCTTGGGGGCCAGAAGCAGCATGGACTAGAGGACAGAATGGGGGGCCGAGGGCCACGGCCTGGCTCAGAACCTTCCCGGGATCCTGGAGGCCCTCGTCTGGCCCCAGGCCCACCCAGCCCACTGTGGGCCCCACTCCCTTCTCTCCCGTGAAGGCTGCTGCCCACGTTGCAGCGGCCTCCTAAGAGGGAGCTGACAAAGAAGCTTGTTCCCAGAGAGGGCCCACTAACGGATCGCTTTGGCAGATGCCCCAGAGAAAGGACCTGAGTGTGGACCCTCTGCCTAGAACTGGAAAGGCCCTCGGCAGGCTGCCGCGTCCACCCCCTCCTCCAAATGAGGCCTGA